AAAACCTAAATATGTTGCAAATTCACCATATAAAGATTTATGTACTACTGAAAAAATTAAACTCACAAATATGATACATTTTTGACATGAACTCTTCCTTATATTGAGTCATACTTCCCTCCTTTTAAATGTCACCCTTTAGTTTGAGAAGTTCTGCGTTAACCAACTGACTGGGCTTCAGGCATAAGTATGAGATCTGAGATGGAGATTCAAACCATAGATTTCCCATAAAATCTTGAAATATTCCAAGATTTTGTATTTAAAGAGTCTATAAATACCTGGCCACTGGGTGATTCTCAACAGGGGCGATTGTGCCCTCCAGGGGACACTTGGCAACGCCTTGAGACCATTCTGTTGTCCTGCCGCAGAAGTGAGTGGAGAAGAGTTACTGGCATCTAGTGAGCAGAAGGCAGGGAAGCTGCTAAAGGTCCAGTAAAACACATGACAGTCCCTCCCAAAAGGATTATCTGGCCCAGCGGTCGCCAACCATTTGCACCTCATGAACCACCAGTGGTTCGCGGACCACCCATTGGCGACCACTGCTCTGGCTCACAATTTCAACAGTGCTGAGGCTGAGAAACCCTAGAATCTAGACCAACAGATAAAAAAAATAAAGAATTAACCAAGATCAAGGGAAGGTTAAAAACAGAACAAAACTAAGGCTTATGTGATCTGACTCCTAAATTATACTACTTCCAATAAAGTTAGAAGATGAAGAAAATAGAGAAAAGATTCTTCGAGCTTGTTTTTGAAATGCAATCCACTTGTTAGTTACATGTTCTTTGTCAGTAGAACTAAGCCTCCTCCAAAGACAAACAAACAACTCCTAGAAAACCCTTGTTTCCAAAATTCAATTCTATTCAATACATGCCTGCTGTTGAAAAACAATTAGGAGGTAGAACAAACTGCCCAACCGCACACCTTCAACAATATAAACCCCTACAAAGACACCAAGGATAATGCAATAGGGGCACCAAAAAGAACTCCATAGAGAAAACTCACTCAGTTTTGGATAAATGCCTGCTCTTAGGTCTTAGACAACTTCTATCTTTTATTACGGTGCAGTGAAAGCTAAAAGCTTTCTACTAGGATGTAATAGTTCTCTGTAGAACAGAAAACAATATAAATTTCAAACATGTTTTATTCTTGGAACTGCACAGTAAAGAACTTTACACCCACGAGAGGTCTGGGCTTAGCTGTTAGCTTTTAGGAGGTAACCAATATCTTTTAGAGTTGGGGTCATCACATTACATCTTAGGGTGAACTAGTCATACCCAATACTGGGTTGGCCATGTCAGAAAGAGACCAAAAGATCATGTGATTCAGGATGGGGACTTTGGGTCATGCAATCTGTCAACCTGGATGCTGAGTTCAACCACATGGACACTCAATCGATCATGACAATGTAATAAAGCCCCAATAAAACCTCTCAATGGGGCTTGGGAGCATTTCTCTGGTTTGCTGTCTTGCATCAAAGCCAGGAGGGTAATGCACCTGAGAATAATGGAAGCTCTGCACTTTGGAACCCTCCCATGTTCTACCTAATGTATCCCTTGGCTGATATTTATGTATATAAACCACAACTATGATGGCTTTCAGTGAGCTCCATGAATCTAGCTTCTGGCAAATTATCATATGTGAGGGTGGTTTTGGGAACCCCCCTAATCTTGTACTTGGTGTAAGTGAGGATGGTCTTGGGGACTTTGCCCTCAAACTTTGTTTGGCTAACTCTGGGCAAGAAGATACGTTTATTTACCAGTGCAAGTCTGAGTATCTCTAGAAGCTTGCCTTGTGTAGTCATTTCCCCTTCTGTGTGGCTGTGACCTCTGACTTGCTTCTAACCAACAGAACATGGCAAAGGTGAGGTCATATTTGTGATTATGTGTGCATGATTGCTAAAAAGATTACCATGTCCATCTTACTGCAAGACTGTCTTCCTTTTTAGCTGTGAAGAAGCAACCTGCTGTGTTAGGAGCGGCCTGATGGAGGAGGTGACGTGGCGAGGAACTAAGGGTGGCCGTCAGCCAACATCCAGCAAGAAACATGAAGCTCTTAATTCCACAAACTGCACGAAGCTTCAGCCAACAGCCACACGGGCTCACACACAAAGCCTTTACTGTATCCAAGTCTTGAAGTGAGGGTGCAGCCCCAGCCAACACCTTAATTGCAGCTTTCAGGTAAGATCCTGAAGTAGAGAACCAAGCAAAGCCATGCCTGGACTCCTGACCCCACAGAAACTCTAAGATAATAAATGTATGTTATTTTAAGCCACTAAAGTTGTAATACATAACCAATACAATAGACAAGTGGTGGTACTCGTCAGAAATGCAACATTAGTGGGATATTTCTAAAATGAAAATAGGATCATATTACTCACTAGCTTAAAAAAAAAATCTCTCAGTGGTCTCTCACTGGCTATAGAATAAAGCCCAAACACTTTAGCAAGGTACAAAACTCTCCTTAATCTGACCTCCAGTCCCTTATCTGAGCTCTTAATATGTGCCACCCACTCACCACTTCTCTCCCTCCTCCAAGCTCCAGCCATATACAACGAACAAATGTTCTCAAGTATTTACTCTCCCCAGCTATGCGATGCTACCCTTCCTAGAACATCACCCTCTGTCACCATCCCCACTGGTCACCTGTGGCCTCACCCTCTCAGGCTATCACAGAACTCTGCACATTTCTCGGTAGGAGGTCCCACTGTGCATTCTATGCTTTGTGTGCTGACTTTCCTGCTGATCTACAAACTACAAGTTGCTTGAGGGGAGTTTTTCTCATCCGTAGTTCTGGCAGAGAATGGCTGCTCCCTAAACTATTACTAAATGAATAAATCCCAATCAAAGTGTAGTCCTGGCCATAACTTTTCAAGGAAAGTTATAATCCACAAATTTTTTTGTAGCACAAAGTATCAAACTGTGTATACCATTAGTAAAACTATGAATCTCTAAGATTCTCTAAATCTGACACTTAATATATATCCAATTCACTTCTCTACATTCATCATTATCTTCTGTTTCATTAGACTTTAAAATTTTTATTGTACCCTATAAGCCATGAAATTGACAATTTTTATTAACCAAACCCAGAAAATATCACAACTAAATTTAAAATAATTCACATTCAAATAAAAACATAAATATCAAGTTTTAGTTTATCCAAGTTTTAATTTGAAAGGACCTTAGACCAGTTTTGAATAGAAAAAGAGAACAAATTAGTATTCTTTCATTTTCTATTTTTTAATATTTATCCACATGCACATTTACTAAATTTTTAGCCTAGAGGAGAAAGAAATGTTACCTTGATTGCTAAATGCACCAAAGAGTGATAATATCACTTGACTCTTTAACCTTAAATTTAATATTAAATATTTATACAGTTTCCCTCATTTAGCAAACAAAAATATATTTTATCAAACCCCAAATTATAAATCAAATCTAGTTTTTAAAAGCTAACTATGGCACTTGAGTTATTTTATATGTAACTAAAACTAATTTTTACATTGGAAATTTCTTGGTTCTAAACTAACTATAGTCTGGAACAGTATTTTTACTCCTCATAAAATTAAGATCATACACTATGCTTTAGTTTGCTATTTTATTTCATTCAAAAACAGATGTTTTATCTCCTGTGAAAACATTAAAATGAAAAGCATGCTTTTACAACTATGTCATCTTCATAAACTAATGTTCACAAAAAATTAGTATTCATTTTACAAGGTAAATACAACACAAACTTACAATAATTAGTATAAGCAGACTGAGTACAACAGTTACAAATATTGTAAGCACAGTTCTCGAGTGCAAGCCATTACTTTTCAGCCTAGAGAAAGAATGTTGGCAAAGCTCTCTACCACATGGAAACTGCTTTTAAAGCTGCTGGGCCCTGAAATTCTACTCAGCAGTTTAAAATCAATCCACAGCTTTCCTCATTCACCCTCCCACTTGGTGCTTATGCACAGACATGAACATCAATTGAGGAAAACCACAAAAAAACTTCATAATAGCTACAACGGTAGGCTCCCCCCTCCCCAGTATTATTTTAAATATCATTTAAGATGTGACTCAACTAACAGTCTTAATAAATGTAAAGGCTATCTCTAATTTTTTAATGTTCCAGTTACCTCAAACAATTACTTTTAACTAACACTTTAGTGTATATCATTACATAACTTTAATATCCATTGCAGGCAAGAACACAGAGCTGCAAACATCACCGACCCTGTTATTCTTAATTTTTAACCACTGATTTTTGATGAATGGCATTTACAATGCAGCACCAGCAACTCTGAGTGATTCTGTTTGAAATTATTTAAGAAAAAATCTGAAATGTGTACCACCAGATAAAAATCCACCAGTAAGCCTAAATCTTACCTATTACATTTCTCTAATCCTTGATTAAAACTTCTATCTTTTTCTAGTCTGCAATACTATTTTTTTACTTTTCATAGTTTAAATTTATAAAGCAATTCTATTAACTAAAAACAGTGATACCTATGACAATGAAAAAACTAAGAAAATTAAAATTATGGCTTTTCCTACATTTTGTACAACTTTTAAAAGTGTTAATGACTACTTTTTACAATGTTAAATTTAAAGTTTAAACTTTAAAACTTTTCTTAAAACTTGTTTTTGTTCATACCAATACAAATCAAGAGTTCTTATAAAGTAGCAAAGTTGAAATATGATATTTTAAGCTCACATGAGACAGGATCTTGGGCCTTCATGTTAACCATTTATACTACAGGTATTCTAAGATTTCAAGTTCATAAAAGTACTGTGTTCAAGGCACTTAATTATTAAGAAACTAAAATTATCAACATTGCTTGGATTTTTTGATAGAAAAGAAATAAAATCATTTTCTGAAACTGTTTTTCAGAATATCACTGAAACATAAAAACGTTTAGCATGTAATTTAAGATCACTAAGGGTTAAATACTTGTTCTCTGGCCCCTACTGCATATACTCTGCCAAAAACTCCTCTAAGCTTTTAAATATTGCTTCGATGGTCTGGATTTGACTTCCATGGAAAAAGGAGTATTGTCTTACAGTCAGCAGGCCACTAGCTTATTAACTTCCAGTCACCTTAATTTTTGTTAAAATGAAGATTCTGCAGTCTACACTTCTCCTGTTACTGTTTGTGCCTCTGATAAAGCCAGCACCACCAACTCAGCAGAACACCGATAATTTTGAAGAAATTTTATTTACTCGAGATTATGAGGATCAATACCTGGATGGAAAAAATATTAAGGTACCTTATTTCCATTCTACATTTCACTTCTAAAATAGTCTAGCCTATTTAACTGCATGCTTTTGTTTTTTTGAATGTGTGTGATAAGGTTAAGAGGAAAGAAAAAGCACTTTAAGTGATTCAACTTAATTAAAAATAAGTGTCCCTAAGATTATATTTTTGAAGAACGCATGTCTCAATAAATCATACTTATTGTAACCAAACAGTATCTATAGTAACCAACACATAATATTTAAGGAAAACTAAATTTTAAGATACTCCCTGACCAGTTGAAATTTATAGTATTAAGTAGTGTTAAACAATGCCCTATATTTGGATATTATGTTATTTCAAAATAAAATAGGAGATGTGTATTAGGAGAAATAAAGATGGATTACCAGCTTAAGGTTTATTATTTTAGGAAGAAGCGGTTCAAGAAAATAAATAGAAGAGTACTGTCATTTTGGTATATATAATATTTCACAAAATTTATAAATGTCAACTATATACAGTACCAAAAATGAAAAACTACTTAATATGGGCTTTCTGTTTAAATCAGCTTCAACAATTTATATTATCAGTTTGTACCAACTTGAGTTAATACTCTACCACATCTTTCATACTCACTTATATGGGCTAAGTGATTACTTGTGGTTTTCTTATCACACAACTGGGTAAGGACAAAGTAAACACATCACAGAAGTATCTTTCGCCTGCCTACAGTGTGACACACACACTGAAAAATGAGAAATGCAGCCAAATATTTAACAATGTCGATCTCTTCAAAGTTCTTCTCCAGTATGAATAAGATGGCAAAGATTTTTAAAGTGTCCAGTTATTAAGTCAGTCCTTCCTTCCTTCCTTCTTTCCTTCTTTCCTTCCTTCCTTCCTTCCTTCCTCCCTCCCTTCCTCCCTCCCTTCCTTCCTCCCTTCCTCCCTCCCTTCCTTCCTTCCTTCCTTTCCTTTCTTTCTTTCTTCCTTTCTCTTCCTCCCCCACCCTCCTTCTTTCCTTTCATTCTCTCTCACACACACGAGTAAATGTTAACACCACATTTTCTGTCAACAAAGTTAGTTAATATGCTAGTATTATTCTTGCTAACAAGAAGACAAAAAGATAGGTATAACTAGTTATAGCTTCAGATTTTTTTTTAAAAAGGCCCATCACAATAATAAACTATTGGCTCACATGTATGATCTGAATCTATCAATCAGTTAAAAGAATACGTTGAAAACTCCCTGGTCCCAAAACATGTACTAAGTAAAAGAAGCTCAGTTTTACTTCTTTATGCTGCTTTAGAAGTCTATCTTAATAAACGAAGAGGAGCAGAGTTCAATGGTATTTAACATACAAAGCGAGTGGAAGGGACTGTTCAGCCAGAACACACGAGAAAGTGAAGGAGTCGAGAGCGAGACTAAAAGTGGCAAATGCTCCTGAAGGGTACAGAAACTAGGGCACCACACAGTATAGTCTAGCCAGCCGTGGGCAAACTACGGCCCGCGGGCCGGATCCGGCCCGTTTGAAATGAATAAAACTAAAAAAAAAAAAAAGACCGTACCCTTTTATGTAATGATGTTTACTTTGAATTTATATTAGTTCACACAAACACTCCATCCATGCTTTTGTTCCGGCCCTCCGGTCCAGTTTAAGAACCCATTGTGGCCCTCGAGTCAAAAAGTTTGCCCACCCCTGGCTAGTCTAATGGCAGAACATGTTCCCTCCCAGAATATGAAAAAGAGTAAATGATAAAGACCCCAATTCTCCTAGAGCTAACAGCCTGGACCGGTGGTCTGAGTGTGGAGGGTAGGCTAGAATGAAAGGACTCCAAGGCCTTAATGCACGTGCATATATACCTAAGGGTCACTACCAGAAGCGGCAAAGAAAGCCTACTCAGGGCTGTCCAGGTAGGACACGACTGGTGCTTAGTACAGGCCCACATGGCAGAATATGAATAATTAAAAGAGCTACTTTACATAAAAATAATCTCAAGACACTATTTTCATTTTAGGTTCCACCTCAGAAAATCTTTAATTCCAAGGCATAGAATTCTCCCCTAGTTCCCATTTGGAATTTCAATACATTTGACATTTAGGAAGCACAGAGTTTGGCCTTTGAAGATATAAAAATTTTTTTAAAAGACCTGGTTCTTTTACTCAAGGAGCCCACAGTATAAGTAAAATCAAGCTAAACAACTATTTTTTTTAATAAGTATATAAAACATAAAGTAAATGTCATTATGTGACTATGAGAAGACAGATGTTTTCCATATCCCTCAGTTTATATGGTGAAAATTAGATTTCTCACACTTGATAATACATTTTTATTTTTCTAATAGAAAAAAGAATCTATGATAACACCTGATGAGAAAAGTCTTCAATTACAAAAAGATGAGAGTTCAACATCATTACCCCTCAAAAAAGAAAATGATGGTAAGTATGAACAGTCTGTCATCTATTTTTTAGAAGCTTTAAAAAACAGCTTATAATGGAATTTTAGTCTTCATAGTAATCAAAACTTGTCTCTGAATAGACTGACCCCAAATAATAGAATTCTATCTCCAACAACAAAGTCAAATAGGCATGTTAGGAGTGCACATCATTTCCCACCCCATGTTAGGAGTGAGAAACATGGAATAGGAACATGCAAGAACAACCAAAGCTAATGCAGTGTAGCCCCTACAAAGTATGTCTTTCTATCTATGTAAAATCAATTCAAGAAACAGTTATTAAACACCAATTAGTTTTAAACTTAGTCCTCAACGTACATTTAGACTTAATTTTTCAACTTTATAATGGCCCCAAAGTGATACTCATAATAAATTACACAAGATACTCAACACTTTCTTGTAAAATGGGCTTTGTGTTGGGCACTTTGCCCAATTGTAAGCTAATGTAAGTGTTCGGAGCACATTTCAGGTAGGCTAGGCTACACTATGATGTCCGGAAGTAACCCCATCGTAAGTTGAGGAGCATATGTACTATGTATAGCCTGAGGGTAAGGTAAATGAAATGTAACTCTTTCCCTCAAGAAAGTCACAGAAGACGGAGAGATGGTTATACAGATTGTCATCAACTTATGATAGTTCAACTTACATTTTTTTACTTTATGATGATGCAAAAGCAATACACATTCAGTAGAAACTATCTAGGCTTAAGCTAAGATGTTCAATAGGTTAGGCATAATAAATGTATTTCCGACTTAGGATATTTTCAAGTTTCAGTTTATCTACACTAATAAAAGAGAAACATGCAAATTGGTGTCACTCTGCTACGCCCACCAGCCAATCAGAGCAACTATGCAAATTAACCCAACAAAGATGGCGGTTAATTTGCATACGTAGGCATGGAGTGAAGACTGAAGGCTCAGGCCAGAGTGAAGACTGAAGACTAAAGACTAAAGAGGCTTGGCTTCTCCACTGCGGCTGGACCAAAGTTCTGGGTTCCAGGTGCCGGAGGAAAACCGGTGCTGGCAGCCAGGGGAAGGAAGGCCTATTGCACGAATCTCTATGTGCAACGAGCCCCTAGTCAGTATATAACTCCACCATTAAGTTGAGGAGCACCTGCATACAGTCATGTGCTGCATAATGATGGAGATACATGCTGAGAAAGGCATCATTAGGAGATGCTGTCATGCAAATGTTGTAGAGTGTACTTACACACACCTATATGGTATAGCTTACTACATACCTGTGGTGCATACAGCCTATTGCTCCTAGGTTACAAGCCTGTAAAGTATGCTACTGTATAAAACAACACAACATTAAATCAACCAGAAAAGAAAATGAAGCAATCGAGACACAGTAAACAGAAGATGGTTCAGGCTGCTGCCAGTGTGATACAGCATGTAGTTTTACAGTAAACATTTGTTCATTAAGTAGAAAGAGTACACACACGCTAAAATAATGTTAAAAATTATACTGTAGTAAATACATCAGTCAGTGACATACTCATTTATTATGGACACAATTGTATGTGTTAGTTACTCTTCTGTGCTGGTAATTCAGTAGGTTTGCATCACCACAAATACATGAGTAATGTATTTTGCTACGATGCTATGAAGGATACAACTTCTTTAGGTGATAAACATTTTTCAGTTCCATTATAATCTTATGGACTCTCATCGCATATGTAGTTTGTCAATGACCAAAACATCAATAGGTGGTGCATGACTGTATCCAAATAATTATAATGCACATTTCAATTAAATCAATAGAAAACATAACAAACTACGTAGTCCTATTCAATAGTTCCTATCTATTTGATTTATTCTTATTCTATCACAGAACATTATTTCACATGACAGTAAAAAATCACATAGTAATTTCTATATTGCTACAATAAATTAAAATGAACCAAAACAGATAATATATCTTAAGAAACCTGAAAGTATCAAAGTAAAAATAGACTTGGACAAATGGAAAGATATTCCTTGTGCTTGGCTAATGTGATTCAATATCATAAAAATGTCAGCTCTCTAACTTTGTAACAATAAACTTATATAAAGATCTGATAAGGTTGATACTCAAGTTCACATGGAAAAATAAAAGCTGCACAAACAGCAAGGGAAATACTGAAAAATGACAGGTAACTGCAGGAATCAGAAGTACCATACACATTAGAACATACTTTAAAAACTCTACACTTTTAAAAAGTGTGATACTGGTGCATGAATAGACTAGAAAGTCCAGAATCAGGCAGAAATACATGTACAAATTTAGTATATAATAAAGTCAGCATCTAAAACCACTGAAGCAAAGATTATTTTTTGTTTGTTTATTTTTTGTCAATCCTCACCCAAGGATATTTTTTCCATTGATTTTTAGAGAAGGACGGAGAAAGGGGAGAGAGGAACACAGATTGCTTGCCTCCCGCACATGTGTCCCAACTGGGCTGGGGATCAAACCTGCACCCAGGTACATGCTCTTGACCAGATATCAAATCTGAGACCCTTCAGTGCATGGGCCTAGGTTCTAACCACTGAGAAACGCCAACCAGAGTCAAAGATGATTTTTTTTTAATGGTGCTTGGACAACTAAGTAGTCAACTGAAAGGAACTACAATTAGATCTATACCTTACATTGAAAAAAAACTCCAAATAAATTCAGATCTAAATGTAAAAAGTGAAACCGTATAAATCCTTGAAAATAAATTGGGTGTGAGGTACCTACAAATCCAGAGGCAACCATAGAAAATATCAATGAATTCGACTCCATAAACTGAAATTTGCATGGCAAATACATCATAAGTGAAGTCAAAGACAACTAAAAATTGAGAAAAATATTTGCAACTTATTGCACAAAGAATTAATACCTCTAAATTATATATATATTTTTTAAAGTAAAGATCTAGGAAAAAAATCTGACTGAAAAAGACATTGGAAAAACAGCCAAAAGAGATGTACAGATAATTCACCAACTGATCCTATCTAATAAAAGGGTAAAATATGCAAATCAACCATCACTCCATCACAAAGATGGCGTGAGTAGCCTGGCAGAATGCTTGCTTCGTCGCCGTGCCGACAAGGCAAGCTTTCCACCCTGGCCGTGGAGGGCATGGAGCGGCCGGAGGGGGGAGTAGGGGGGGAATCTTGCGTCGTCACCCCAGCAACGAGGCAAGCATTCCGCGCCCAGCCGCAGAGGGCTTCTGGCCTGGCCAGGCGCGGAACGCTTGCATCGTTACAGGCCAGGCTGAGGGACCCACCCCCACCATGCACAAATTTCGTGCACCGGGCCTCTAGTATAAAAATGATCCTCAAACGTACAAAAATATGTTACATCTCACACAGAGCAATGCAACTTAAAATTACATTGAAATGCCATGTTTTAACCTGACTGACCAAAATTAAAACTGTGACAACATATTACTATATTCAATTGGCAAGGCTACAGGGTATCAGACAATCTCATACATTGTTGGTGGAAAGCAAACTGGTACACTTTTGGACCAAAATTTGGTAATCGTATATAACAAAGAGGTAATATGCAAATTGACCGCCATGCCCTCACACAAGATGGCCAGCAGGGGAGGGCAGTTGTGGGCAACCAGGCCTGCAAGGGAGGGCAGCTGGGGGGGGACCAGGCCTGCAGGGGGAGGACAGATGGGGGGACCAGGCTGGCAGGGGGGGGGGCTGTTGAGGGGGGGCTAGGCCTGCAGGGGAGGGTAGTTGGGGGGGACCAGGCCGGCAGGGGAAGGCTGTTGGCAGGGACCAGGCCTGCAGGGGAGGGCAGCTGGGGGCAATCAAGCCGGTAGGGGAGCAGTTAGTCATTGATCAGGCTCGCAGGGAAGTGGTTAGGGGGTGATCAGGCTGGCAGGCAGAAGCGGTTAGGGGCAATGAGGCAGGCAGGCAGGCGAGCGGTTGGGAGCCAGCAGTCCTGGATTGTGAGAGGGATGTCCGACAAAACCAGCAGTTGGACATCCCCCGAGGGGTCCCAGATTGGAAAGGGTGCAGGCTGGTCTGAGAGACACCCCCCTCCATTGCACGAATTTTGTGCACCTGGCCTCTAGCATCTAATAAAACCAAATCCAAAAGAAAATACATATGCAAAATCATTGAAGCACTGCTTCCAATGGCAAAATATTGGAAACAATCAAATTTCCCATACATTGGAGAGTGTACGTATAAAGTATTGTATATCCACACAAGGGAATACTATGCAGTTGTGAAAATAAATTATCTCTATTGAACTAATATGAAATGATTTCCAGAAAACATATATGAAAAAAACCCAAGTACAACAGTCTATCTACAGTATGCTGCCTTTCATCTCACAAAGAAGGTGATATAAGTACAGGCATCAGTTCACTTGTTTCTGAAGAAACCCAAGAAGGGTATTAAAAAACTGAGACTAGTTACCTACAGGTCACAGATGGGCCAGCAGTGGAAAGGAGTGGGGATGGGAAATGAGGAGCTGTGTGAGAGGATAGTGGCACTACTCTGTGTACACCTTATTGTGTAGATTCGATTTTAGAACAAGGTTATGCTTCACATAGGCAAACGAACAAATAAATACACTGATAAATAAAATCAACAAGGATAAGATAAAAAACCAAAGTGAAATACAAACAGAAAAATAGAAACTTAATTACATTTCAAATGAATTACGTAAAACACTAAAAGGGAAAATTCTAATCCAAGTAACCTTTCAACACAATATTTTGATTGCATTCCTTCTGACTAAAAAATAAATACATATATACATACATACTAAAATTCCAATGAGTGGGTTTGTAGCAATAATGAAACTACTTAATGCTTGTTCCAAGACTCAGTAATGTAAAGCAAACACACTGTGGATAATGAGAGCTAGGTTCCTCGCTGTCAGAGAAGGGTGTTAGAAATATGGAAAGGAAAAAGGCTAGAATGAACACTGTGGAGCTAAACTATAACACCATCAACTCATGGCTTGTAAACAGATACAGAAACAGATATAGATGTGTCTGTCTCTGTGTGAGCAAGCATGTGTTGTGTATATATGCATATGGTGTGTTTATGTATATGCTAGAGGCCCGGTGCATGAAATTCGTGCATGGGTAGGCTCCCTAGGCCTGGCCGGCGATCAGGGCCAATCTGGGCCTTCCAGCTGCTGGCTGGGGCCTTCCTTCTGGCTACTGGCTGGGGCCTCTCTTCCCTGGTTGCTGGCTGCCAGCCGGGGCCTCCCTTCCCCAGCTGCCAACCAGAGCCTTCCTTTGTTCCGCACCACCCGTGGTGGTCAGCACACATCAAAAAGAGCGAGCAGTCTCCCAGTCAAACTCCCACAGTGACAATTTGCATATTAGGCTTTTATATATAGATGAGTATATGGTGTATATATACGTGCATGTATATGTGTATATATATATGTATACTAGAGGCCCACTCCATGAAATTCATGCACTGGGCGGGTCGGGGGGAGAGGGGAAAGGTGTCCCTCAGCCCGGCCTGCACCCTCTCACATCCAGGAACCCTCAGGAGATGTCCGACTGGCCTGCGGGGATCAGGCCTAAACCGGCAGTCAGACATCCCCCAAGGGATGTAGCAGTGCGCCAATTGGCAGGCAGCCATGGAGGAGCCAGAAGCAGGGCCAGGTGCTGCACCGCTCGTGCTCATCTCAGCCTACTATGCCTACTGCCACCACTCGGTAGTGCTGCCACGGAGTCACGAGAGGCTCCCGCTGCCGCAGCTGCATTTGCCAGCTGTGAGCCCAGCTTCTGGCTGAGCGGCGCTCCCCCATGCACTGAACACCAGGGGGCAGCTCCTACCTTGAGCATCTGCCCTTGGTGGTCAGTGCGCATCATAGCAACTGGTCGACTGGTCATTCCGTTGTAACGGTCACTTAGGTTTTTATATATAGAGATAGGACATATGTATCATGTGTGTATGTATGTGTATTATTACATATTGAGAGAGAGAGACAAATATGCATGCATACATTTCCTAGCTCTGATGGAAAAGCCTAGAAGCAATGAGATTCCAGTAGCAAGGAGCATATCGACACCCAAATCTTGGTTTCTAAATACTATTCTCCATTAAAAGTAACTAGTACTCCTTGAAGAAATAGCTAATGTCAGGCTTGGGCCAGGGAAAAGGCAAGATTGGTCTGGGACATCTTACCAAGCCAGAAAATAGGGAAGTATTCAAATAATAATGGCAACATTTAACTTTTAAAGGATTAATCAAAATATAAAATATACCTGGGTATAAATTTGCAAAAGATGTACAAGGACCTGTACACTAAAATCTAGACAACAATACTGAGAGAAATTTAAGAAGACCTAAACTTATAAATAGATACAGTGTGTTCAATGATCAGAAAACTCAAAGTTATTAAGATGTCAATTTTTCTCAAATTTTTCTGTAGATTCAATGCAATAACAATTAAAAACCTATCAGGCTTTCCTGTTTTTTAAATTAACAAGCTTATTGTAAAATTTATGTGGAAATGCAAAGAACCTAGAATAGTCATAACAACACTGAAGAATTAAATTGGAGGATTTATGCAACCTAATATCAGCACTTATTATAAAGGTATAGGAATCAAGACACTGTGATATGAGCACAAAAATAAACAGATCAATGAAACAACACAGTCTAGAAACAGACTTACACAATATGATTATTTACAATGATGCCAATACAACTAAAAAAAAAAGACAATTTATTTTAAAAATGGTGCTGAAAGAAGCAGATGGTTATAGGAAAATAAAAAATAAACTTTGACCCTTCCTTATACCATATATAAAAATTAACTCAAAATGGACTCTATGCTTAAATATATAAAGAGTGTAAGCTATACAACCTTTAAAAGAAAACATAGAATGGAAACTTAGTGGTTGGCAAAGATTTCTTAAATAAAACACAGATGAATCAACTGTTCTTCATTAAACTTAAAAATGTTTGCTATTCAAAAGACATTGATAAGAAAATAAAAAGAGCCCTAGCTGGTTTGGCTCCGTGGATAGAGCATCGGCCTGTGGACTGAAGGGTCCCAAGTTTGATTCCGGTCAAGGGCACATGCCCTGGTTATGGGCTCATTCCCAGTAGGGGTGTGCAGGAGGCAGCCAATCAATGATTCTCTTTCATCATTGATGTTTCTATCGCTCTCTCCCTCTCCCTTCCTCTCTGAAATCAATAAATATATATAAAACTAAAATAAAATAAAAAGACAAGCCACAGACTGGAGGAAAATATCTGCAAAACATAAATCTGACAAATGACATATCTATAATATATACTCTTATAATTCAATAATATACTCTTATACTTCAATAATAATACCAAAAAAATTGCATTTAAAAAATAAGCTAGATGAACAGACACTTCACCAAAGAAAATACATGGATGGCAAATATAAACAGATGCTTGGCATCATTAATCATTAGGAAAATGCAAATTAAAACATGAGATACCACAACCCACCTTACCTGAGTGGCTAAAATGAAAAACTCCAATCATACCAAAATGGTGGTGAGGATATGGAGCAACTGGAGCACTCATGAAGTGTTGATGGGAATATAAAATGGCACAGCCACTTTGGAAAATAGTTTGGGACTTTCTTCTAAAGGTAAACATACACCTACCCAGCCATTCTACTCTTAGGTATTTACCCCAGAAAACAAATGCATTAAGTCCACACAACTTGTACATGAATGTTTTTAGCAGCTTTCTTTAAAATACCCCAAAACTGGAAACAACTGAAATGTCCATAAAATATAACTATAACAAGGGAATACTACTCAGTAATAAGAATGCACTACGGATACAAGCAACAACAGATGAATCTCACAGTAACTATGCAGAGTGAAAAAAGTCCGACAAGAGTATATACCACATGATTCTTTCGATACAAGATTGGGAGGGAGGGATTACCAAAGGGCATGAGAAAGTTTTGGGGGTAATGGGTGTGTTAATTATCTCAATTGTGGTAATGGTTTTATGGGTATATAAAAATGTCAAAAACGTATACATTATACAAGTTAAATATGTGCAATTTATTGTATGTCATTTGACACGTTAAGCGCCAAGCCTGTTTTGTCTTCCTTTCCGTTTCAGTCACCGGTGACTGACATGGTGCTTAATGTGCTAACCACAGAAAAGCTGTGGCAGGATAAAAAAGCTTAAAAGAGTTCTCACTGGCTAATCTGTGAAAATCCTATATAATAAAAGGCTAATATGCAAATCAACCAAACGGTGGAATGACCGGTCGCTATAATGCACACAGACCACCAGGAGGCAGACACTAAACGCAGGAGCTGTCTCCTGGTGGTCAGTGCGCTCCCCTATGGGGAGTGCCGCTCAGCCAGAAGCCCTGAGCCAGGCTCATAGCTGGCGAGCACAGTTGCGGTGGCAGGAGCCTCTCCCATCTCCCGGACTGCAAGAGGGCCCAGGCCTGGCTGAACGACCCCCCCGCCCCAGTGCACAAATTCATGCACTGGGTCTCTAGTTTGATTATAAAAATAAATGTTATGATAATGTATTATGACCTATAGGATTAGGAATTCGTAAGTTCATACTGACAGAAATAAATAAATAAACAAACAAACAAGAAGGGAATGTTCCACCTTACACCAGAATGCCAACGAACAAGTATAGAAAGAATGATGGATTTAGAAAATCATTATTTGGCAACTATCCTACTGATAAACAATTCAGGTTAAGAATCAATGGATGATAAAACTAGTGGATGAGAGTTTAATGGCAAATCAGATATTTAAAATCTCAAAGTACTTCTCTGAAAGATACTTATTAATTACAAAGTGAAAAACATTTACTTTACAGAGTGAGAAACATGGTGGATACCAAATGAAGCAAGTGACCAAAGACAGCATTGTTAGGAATGGGACAAATAGATACCTTGTGCTCCTTGATGCATGGCACTGAGAACCCTACACCATTTCCATGGTCTTCCTGCCCCAAATGGGGAGCCTCAGACAAATCCTAATTAAAAGACATTTTGCCGAAACCGGTTTGACTCAGTGGATAGAGTGTCGGCCTGCAGAATGAAGGGTCCCAGGTTCGATTCTGGTCAAGGGCATGTACCTGGGTTGTGGGCACATCCCCAGTGGATGTGCAGGAGGCAGCTGATCGATGTTTCTCTCTCATCGATGTTTCTGACTCTATCTCTCTCCCTTCTTCTCTGTAAAAAATCAATAAAATATTTTTTTAAAAAAAGACATTTTGCAAAATATATACCATAAAACATAATTTTTTTTAATTAAAAATTTTTCAAAAAAGAGGTGAAAAATAAAGACTAATAAAACTGTTCCAGGTTAAAAGAGACAAAAAAGGCATGACAAATAAATGCAATGGATGACAGCAGAGTGAAATGGAATCTCAACAGTGTCTACACTGACTCTAATTTTCAAGTTAACAGTTTGCTTATCTAACCAGTAGTTTCTAAACTCCTTAGCTGTCACCAAAATAAAATGCGTTTGTGCCACACTAAGGAATAAATCAAGCTCCTGTTTACCTTAAGTCCTACTTTACAATTTTTTTCTGGTATTCAAATGAGGAAATATAACTGTCGATCAATTCAGCAATTAAAGAATCAATGCAAAAGCAGAGAATAAATAAGACTGAACTACAAAATCTAAAATAAATTCTGGTGAATTATCAGTTATAATACAGGTCTTTAGCAATCATAATCGTGGTATCTTTCCCATCACCTACACTTCTGTAAAATATCTTTTTAAATCAGTAATAACATTCATAATAGCAATAACTTTGCCAGTAGAGGCCAAATGTTCTTACTGTTTATACGTTTATGACTTTTCCCAATTAGAAATGCCCACGTGCCTGCTGTGTGTGTGTTTAAGTGGCTCTGTATACTGTGAAGAAGTTGACATTGAAGTTGTACCACCCTTGCCAAAGGAATCAGCCTATCTTTATGCACGATTCAACAAAATTAAAAAGCTGACTGCCAAAGATTTTGCAGAAATACGTAAGTTAGTTTTAAATAAGATATTAGTATTAAATCATGCTAGTATTTAACTCCTATAAACACAAAATTCTAGGTACTCATGGCCTATCACATCTAGGTGTATAGGTGTATTTTAAGTATCTACCACATTTCACAAAAATCCACTGATTTGTTGATGAATCTCCTTTCCATTCAGATATCCTCTGCCATCTTTCTTTACTGGTGACTTTGGTGTCTGTGTTGACAGCCCATTTTCCATATGGGCAAACTATGTCTTCTCAACCCCAATACTTCAAGATCCACTTGCTAGTCAGCAGCACCAATATAATCAGGATGCTTCTCCAATTACAATGTTTTATTTTCTACCTTCACTGTAAAAGCACAGAAACTGCTTTTCCTTACTTTAACTCACGGTTCTTAAATCTGACTGCATAATTTAAAATATCTGGGGAAGCATTTAAAAATTACCAGGCAGGGCCTGGTCGGCGTGGCTCAGTGGTTGAGTGTTGACCTATGAATCAGGAGATCACGGTCCGATTCCTGGTCAGGGCACATGCCCCAGTTGTGGGCACAATCCCCAGTGGGGGTGTGTGCAGGAGGCAGCCAATCAAGGATTCTATCTCATCACTGATGTTTCTATCTCTTTCTCGCTCTCCCTTCCTCTCTGAAATCAATAAAAATATATTTAAAATACCAGGCAGGCCCTAAGTCCCCAGAGGTTGAGGTCTGGGGAGAGGCCCCGGCATCATCAAACACAACCAAACTCCTCAGATAATTCTAGTATAGAGCTGGTGTCCTTCTTGAGTCATTCGCAATCTTGACTTCTGGCATCCTAGCAAACCAATCCTCTGTCTTCTGCAGAGCCTAGTCCTAGTCCTGGATCACTAATCCCTCATAAATTTTCTAGATTCCTATGTTGTCAAATGCTTCTGAGGAAAATCACACCGAAAAATGTACACTGGCCCCGCCCCACTACACATGTACAAGATTAACAGTAACTGGATTCATGCCGTTCTGGTGACTCCCACTGGCTGAAGTATAGCTGTTCCTCATTATTTGTGGATTCCACATTTTCAAACTCACTGACTTGCTAAAATTTAGTTGTAATCCCAAAATCAATATTTGCAGCACTTTCACAGTCATTTGCAGACATATGCACAGTGGCAAAAACAACTGAGTTAGCCAGTAGAGGTCGAAGGTGATGTTCTGACTTTTTGTTTCTGCTTTTATACTGTAAACCAGTCCTGTTCAGTCTTAGTGCCACATTTTTCACATTTTTGTGATGTTTGCTGTTTAAAATGGCCCCTAAGTGTAGTGCTTAAGTGCTGTCTAGTGTTCCTAAATGCAAGAAGGCTGGCTGTGATATGCCTTGTGAAGAAAATACATGTGTTAGTAACCTCCATTCAAGTGTGAGCTCCAGTGCTGATGGCTAGTGAGTTCAATGTTAATGTATCAACAGTATATACTAAAGGCTATATACTAAAGGCTATATACTGGTTTGGCTCAGTGGATAGAGCGTTAACCTGCAGATTGATGTTTCTATCTCTCTCTCATGGGTATGAATCCTGTCAAGGGCACATGCCCAGGTTACAGGCTCTATCCCTAGTAGGGGGTGTGCAGGAGGCAGCCGATCAATGATTCTTTGTCATCACTGATGTTTCTATCTCTCTCTCCCTCTCCATTCTTCTCTGAAATCAGTTAAAAAAAAAAAGAAGTCTATAAAAAGAAACACACATAAAATTATGTATTGGCTGCTGATGAAAATGTGTGATCAGAGGGTTGAAGGAACCTAGCCCTGCATTTCCCCTGGGAGCCATAATGTTCCATATTTACTAATTCAGTGTTTGTGGTAATTTTATACACATGACTGTCCCATATAATGAGAAGCATTTTTGTCTGTTGTCAACCAATAAGGCATAGAACAATTCAGATAACATACCCACAATGACAATGCAACATGCCAGCAAAAAAGTTCGTGATTCTATTCAATCAAGTGTAATGCTTATTTTCCATGATTTGCAACAAGAATTTCTTTCAAGCTGCCTGAGCATCCTGAAAATTCAGAATACAGTAGGACTCTACTAAATTCTCTTCTGAACCTGTCATTCTAGACTCCAGTTAGAAAGGCCATCAGTGAAAGCACAGAATAGATGCTCAGCATTAATTCAACAAAACTTCTTGAGCTCCTAATAGTAGATACTCTACTAGACACTAAAAACAAAATATGGCTGAATGACCTGTTAAATACTTTTCTTCAGTCCACACAAATGAAAATTTAACTTCTTATTTTTGTATATTTTCTGTATATTTCCCCTTCAAGCTAATTTAAGAAGACTCGATTTTACGGGAAATTTGATTGAAGATATAGAAGACACTACTTTTTCAAAACTTTCTCTGTTAGAAGAACTGACACTAGCTGAAAATCAACTATTGAAACTTCCAGTTCTTCCTCCCAAGCTTACTTTATTTAATGCAAAATACAACAAAATTAAGAGTAGAGGAATCAAAGCAAATACATTCAAAGTAAGTATTTTATAGTATGACTGAATACAGTATCAGTTTTATACAGCCAGTGATGATATGATAAAAGAAAGAGAAGTTCTGGTCTAGAATTTGGTTTTATGTTTTAAGATAATTTTAATTTAATAAATGAAGACATTATTTACCTAACAAATAGCCACACCATTAGGCTCATTTATGCCTGTACCTCACAAAATTATATAATCTTTATCTTATTTCATGGACTACTTTGTGTCTCATGTTTTTCACTTGCTTACAAAGCAAATACTTATTTAAACAGACACTAGAGGCCGGGTGCACGACATTCATGAATGGGGGAGTGGGGTCTCTTAGCCCGGCCTGTGCCCTCTCACAGGCCGGGATCCCTCTCACAATCCAGGACCGCTGGCTCCTAACAGCTCACCTGCCTGCCTGCCTGCCTGATCGCCCCTAACTGCTCCCCTGGTGGCCTGATCACTCCTAACCGCCTCTGCCTCTGCCCCTGCACCCGGGACCGAGGCTTCCCTCCTCCGGCCAGGCGCAGGCACCCGGGACCCGGGCATCCCTGCCTCTGGCCGGCCATAAGCACCTGGGACCTGGGCCGGCTTTGCCCAGGGCCAGCCGCAGGTGGCCAGGACCGCGGGCAGCTTTACCCCGGGCCCCGCTTTGTCAGGAAGGACGTCCAAAAGGTCGTCCAGAAAATGTCTAGTCTAATTAGCATATTACCCTTTATTAGTATAGATGGTTCACAGCCGCATGGAACCAAGACCTCCAAAAGGGAGTTTTCCTGCCTTTTTCCTTACAATATGAGTAATTTACTAATGCCAGAAAAAATAAAGTTATAGAAGTGAATTTTAATTTTAATACTTCAATATATTAGACCATAAAATTTTATAGCCTTCCTTTTGAATCCCATGATGGCACCAAAAACAAAATTATCTATGTAGTAAAAATTACTTTTCTTAATTTAGTATTTCAAGGAAATGTATGTACAGGAAAAGGGGAAGGTGTGTGACTTTGGTAGCCAGGTTGTCTTGAAATGCATAGTCTATGGAGAAGTAATCATCTCAGCCCAGGAAGGAACCCCAGATAAAGGATCATGCTATTGTTGACAAAAGAAAACCTCATTCAAAAAGAAGGTTTGTAGCTTGTAATGATAAGCACCTAACTATCAAATATTCATTATCATAAATTAATGATAACCACACAATGTACAATCTGTCCACAAACATATGTGTCAGAAAATGTAAACATATTCCACTTTTCTCCTATTTCTGCTACAATTAAGGGACCCTCTTTCTACTTTAAGGGGCATACTAGAGATAAATCAAAGTTTCACAGAATTTAATGGACTTAGGGGACTTTTAAAAACAAACAAAAACCACCTTAGCTGGTTTGGGTCAGTGGATAGAGCATTGGCCTGCGGACTGAAGGGTCCTGGGTTCAATTCCAGTCAAGGGCACATGCCTGGCTTGTGGGCTCGATCGCCAGTAGGAGGCAGCCGAACAATGATTCCCTTTCATCATTGATGTTTCTATCTCTCTCTTCCCTCTCCCTTACTCTCTGAAATCAATAAAAATGTTTGAAAGAATAAATAAATAAAAACAAAAACCCCTGTAAGTTGAAGATAAATAATTCTATCCAGTAAGCCTTTGAATAACTGGCATTTTAAAGACCTACAGGAACTGATCAACATTTCAAAAAGGAATGTTTGAATATTTTGCATTTTACACATGCATTACAATAGGGATTCATGACAAGTTGACATGGAAATGATAAACTCAGCTACCTTGCAGTTTGGCTTAACACCCTAGGCTGCAAAAGCCACTGGTAAATCCGGTTACTCTAACCCAGGGGTGGGGAACCTTCTTTCTGCCAAGGGCCATGTGGATATTTATAACATCATTTGCAGGCCACACAAAATTATTAACTTAAACATTATCCTGCTATACTTGGTCAAACATTTAATTAACTCACCCCTAATGCCTTGGCAGGGCCAGACCAAATGATTTTCAGGCCTTATAGGGCCCTCGGGCTGGAGGTACCCACCCCTGCTCTACCTCAAGTGAAGAGGGCCACTGGGGAAGACAGGAACTTGGGGTCCATATGGTGAATGATGAAATGTTAAGGAAGTATCAATAACAGCAAATTAGTTCTAAAAAAATAAAACTCGCAAATTCTGCTACAGGATGTACATCAGAGATAAGGTAAAAGATTAATGCCAGGGGAAACTACATCTTGAAATCATTATAAAATTATACTCAACTAGAGGCCCAGTGCATGAAATTCGTGCACAGGGGGTCCCCTGAACCCAGCCTGCACCCTCTCCAATCCGGGACCCCTTGGGGGATGTCCAACTTCCAGGACCGCTGGCTCCTAACTGCTCATCTGTCTGCTGGCCTGATCGCCCCTAACTGCCCCCACCCTCCGCCAGCCTGGTTGCCCCTAACTTCCCCCCCTGCCCGCTGGCCTGGTCACCTCTTACTGCCCCCCCCCTGCCAGCCTGGTTGCCCCCAATGGCCCCCCTCTGCTGGTCTGGTCGCCCCTAACTGCCTCCCGCCAGCCTGGTCACCCCCAACTGCCTCCCCCTGCCGGCATGGTTGCCCCTCACTGCCCCTCCACCAGCCTGGTCGCCACCAACTGCCCCCCCTCCTGCTGGCCTAGTTGCCCCACGCAGCCTGCTGTTCAGTCGTTTGGTCGTCCCTCACTAACCCCCCTGCCAGCCTTGTTGCCCCACGCAGCCTTGCTGTTCAGTTGATACTCTTACTGTGACGGCATCCTGTACAATTTGCATATTCCTCTATTATTAGTATAGATAACTGGGTTACTGATCATGAACAGTAATCCAATATCAAACCCTTGGGGGGGATTTTTTTACTAAAAAGTATTTAATAAATAGCTTTGGGAAACATCTTACTAACAAGCATATACACCTCTTAGGAATATTCATTTTGCCATAAATTGGAGCTAAAATGGGAAGTTCTGGAGGTTCAAGACAAGTTATGAGAGCACCAGGATCCACCTGTAATCCTATACAATAGGGACTGTCCCATTGGCTGCTCCTAAGACAAAGTCAAAGGGCCCCAGACACTGGTGTGAGGGCTGAGCCGGGCACCGCTGGGTCTCCAGCAGGGGTCTACTGCCCTTCGTAAGAGACAAAGTACACCATTTGTGAGGCCAAAAATACCCCCAAAGCCAAAACACTCTAATAGCAATGATAAATAGTGCAGACATGTCCCTGTCAGTATCGATTTGTATGTCCATGTGGACACACATGAGCGTGTAGCACTGGAACCCTATGAAGAAACGCACGGACTTCGCTGAAGTAAAAGTGCCTTTCCCTGCAGAAACTGAGTAACCTGTCCTTCCTCTATCTGGACCACAACGCGCTGGAATCTGTGCCTCTTAATTTACCAGAAAGCCTACGTGTAATTCATCTTCAGGTAGGACTGCTCTTTCAAATACCTGACTTTAATTTAAATTACTAACGATCAGTCTTATGACTCATTATAAAACGCACATTCACAGGTAAATTTTATCAAAAGTATCACTATGAGCCCAATGCACTCTCTGCCCACCAACCCGGGTTCTGTCCAGAGCAGGTGAAAGGACCAGCAACACCAGGTCTGAGGCCTGCTCTCAGAGGGTGTTAGTCCCGATCTGTGCAGTGTCTCCTAGTTAACCTGGCACATGGATTTGAAGTTGGGGGACACTAAAACCTCGGGCTTAAGTTTCTTTCTCTAAATAGCAATAAATCTTTGCTTTTGAAGCCTTTCCAACTGACTTTACTGTCCAACATCAACTTAAGGTAAAGAAAAGTGAAGAGGGTATAAAAATAAACTAAAATTGATCTTTCAGCATTGTAAGAATTCCTATTTGTTCTTTTTACTTATTTAAAGGTTACTTAAGGACATAGTATGCATTTTGCGCTGACACTCTAGAATAGGATACATTTTTCCAGCTAGTATAATAGCAAGTTGTCTGTTCTTCCAAAGTCATGCTGTAGACTTAAAAGTAAAGGCTGACCTTGCACAGAGAGGGTTTAATTACCATGACGATGGATACACAGTATGTACAATACAGTAGTTTGAAAATCACTTTTTAGATAAAATATTCTGAGATCCCATTGCATGGCATACAAAAGATTGATTTCAGCTATCTGAATACCTTTTCCCTTTTGTTTTCCAGTTTAACAACATAACTTCAATTACAGATGATACATTCTGCAAGGCTAATGACACCCGTTATATTCGGAACCGCATTGAAGAGATACGCTTGGAAGGAAATCCCATTGCCCTGGGAAAGCATCCCAACAGTTTTATCTGCTTAAAAAGATTACCTGTAGGCTCATACTTTTAACCACTATTAGTGCAGCATATAAACTAAAGCACACACATACTTATAATCTATCTCAACAATGTCTAAAGGAGCGTAAATACCTGTTTAATATTAACTTTGTATCCCACTATGAAGGAATTTTATGTTTTAAGCAAGTATGTTCAAAAGCTTACATATAAGGAAGAAGTAAGTCTGAATCTCTAAGTTTAAAACAAGTTAATGAGAAAATATTTAAACAGTACTACAAAATCTTTGTAGTCTATAGTAGAGCACCATTTAAAAGGTATGTTTTTATGCAAATACCCAAAATTAAGAAGCATTATTTCTATTACTAATGAAGTAAGAGGATAAGTCCAAGAAACTTTCAACTGTTTGTCTTTTCTGGCCTTTACTGGATCCCTAAAAGTAGTTAAGACTGACATTCCAAAAACTCTGAAAAGCTAAATATTTCCAGTGATCTCCCATTTTTCTTTTATAATTCAGACATTATTCATTATGAAGGAGAAACTCTTTCTTTCTATTAAGGCAGCTATTATCTTTTTACTTAGCCTGAGAAATAGGGTATAGTCTCATAGGTAAAACTTTCCAAATAAAGTATAATTTTACTCTGATAAAGAGCTAATATAGTAATGTTCAATGTTATTCTGCTTTGTAGTCACACAGTTAAAGGTTTCAGTAAAACAGTATAGAATTCTCTTTCTTCCACATTAACATTCTAAATCTAGCATAAAATATTTTAAGAAGCCAAGCAGATAAAAACCAGTATGCTTGAGAAAAAAAAAATTCACCCCATTTCTCAGAAAATAGCTATAAAGTTCTCTATTGTAAAGGCTTACAAATATGATAAATACTGCAAAACATTTTCTTTTTACATTACAGGAATGGGAATCTTATCAATAAATTTGTCCGAATGTAAGACATAAAAACCAAATGAATTCCATGGTGTTATTACATACCACCCTCCCATCCACCCATACACATCCCCGTTCACCCAAACAGACCTTATATTCACAAGAAAGCTTCTGAGGAACATTTTCTATAGATCCATAAGCAACTAATACATTTAATGATGAGAATTCATCTTCAATCTAATAGTGAAGACTTATGATGACACAATGCTGTCAGATTAGTTTCTAACATAACTTTACATTTGTCCAAACCCATTCAAAAGTCTTTATCTCCACATTATTTTGGGGTTACACACAAAATTATCAGTGCTTCAGAAACATGACTGAACTGTGTATATAAAAATTACCGCAAAAAAAAAAAATTATCGACATTGGCCCAACCCAGTTTGGCTCAGTGGACAGAACATTGGCTGCGGACTGAAGGATTCCGGCAAGGGCATGTGCCTTGGTTGCAGGCTCGATCCCCGGGCCCTGTGCAGGAGGCAAGCAATCAATGTCCATGTTTCTCTCTCTCTCCTCCTCCCTTCCACTCTCTAAAAATCAATGGCCGACAACAACAATAAAATTACTGACATTGTTTCCAATATAAACTATACATTAGAATCAAGTTGGTCTCCGTATATTATTCCCAGAACAAATACTTATTCCTATTTTTAAGCATTTGCTTCCATTTGCTTCCATTTTTTCCCTACATAGAATGACCTCCTATCTGTTTTTCATTTTTGCCCCAATTTGTCAAGGTTGACCCCAAAATAAAACTTTTCCATTAAACAATCTGTGATCTCTTTAAGGCCATAATAATTACCTCATAACACTTATTAACTCATTCATGTATTTTATTTCAGTAACTGATAATCATGACTATTACACTGCTTTCTCATTACTTTGTGTGCAGGCCTCATTTCTCAATGACTGAAGCTCACTGAGCACATACATATTCCCTTTATACTTTCAGAGTCCTAGCATGATAGTGAGTACATTTAATTGAAGATAAAATAAACAGTGCAAAATAAAATCCATTTAAACAGAAGGGCTCTGTTGTATTTGAAAAAAATAGAATCTTTATGTTATCATAATCCTGATTAAATTGTAAGTTTATCTGGAAAAATAAACTTCATGAGAGCTAACTGATGGGGTCAAAAGTGGGAAAATGGCCCTGGGTGGCAAACTTGAAAGAACAAAACTGGAGGATTCACACGTGCTCCTTTCAGATGCAACTACAGAGATACACTAATCAAAAGTGTGGTATTGGTATAAGGACAGACATAGCGACCAACGGAATATTATAGAGAGCCCAGAAACAAACCTTTGCATATATATATATATATATATATATATATATATATATATATATATAGTCAAATGATTTTCAACAAAGGTGCCAAGACCACTCAATAGGAAAAGGGCAGTCTCTTCCACAAACAATGCTGGAAAACTGAATAAGCACATGCAAAAGAATGAGGTTGGATCCTTCGCTTACAAACTAAACACCTAAACTTAAGGGCTAAACTATAAAACTCTTTTTTTAAAAATATATTTTATTGATTTTTTACAGAGAGAAAGGGAAAGGGATACAGAGTTAGAAACATCGATCAGCTGCCTCCTGCACATCCTCCACTGGGGATGTGCCCACAACCAAGGTACATGCCTTTGACTGGAATCGAACTTGGGACCTTTCAGTCCACAGGCCGACGCTCTATCCACTGAGCCAAACCAGTCAGGGCGACTATAAAACTATTAGAGAAAAATCTTTATGACATTAAATTTGACAATAATATTTTGGATATGGCATTAAAAATAGATAATTTGGCTTCTTCAAAATTAAAAACTTTTATGCATCAAAAGTTTGGGGTTACACAAACTTTTCATTCTCAAAAGAATGAAAAGACAATCCAGGGGATGGGAGAAAATATTTACCAATTATGTATCAGATAAGGGATCAATATCTAGAATATATAAACAACTACAACTCAACAATAAAAACTCCAACAATCTGATTCAGTGCGGAAAGGCCTTGCATAGATATTTCTCCAAAGAAGACATACAAATGGCCCATAAGCACATGAAGAGATGCTCAACATTGCTGGTTACTGAGAAAATGCAAATCAAAACCACAATGAGGCCCTAGCTGATTTGCTCAGTGGATAGAGCATCGGCCTGTGAACTGGAGGGTCCCGAGTTCGATTCCAGTCTAGGGCACATGCTCAGGTTGCAGGCTTGATCCCCAGTAAGGGGCGTGCAGGAAGCAGCCGATCAATGATTCTCTCTCATCATTGATGTTTCTATCTTTCCCGCTCCCTTCCTCTCTGAAATCAATTAAAATATTTTTAAAAACCACACACACAGACAATGAGAATACCACTTCACACCCATTAGGCTGGCTATGACAAAAAAAGAAAAAAAACCCACCCCAAATTAACAACTGGATATGAAGGAATTGGAAGCCTTGTACACTGATGTTGGAAATGTAAAATGGTATAGCTACTGTGGAAACAAACATGCAGTTCTTAAAAAATATTAAAGATAGACTTGCCATATAATCCAGGAATTCCACTCGCAGGTTATACTTAAGAGAACTGAAAGCAGGGATTCGAACAGATATAATGGTTATTGTACACCATGCTTCATAGAAGCATTTTCGTAATAGCCAAAAGATAGAAACACCCAGCTGTCCATCAACAGATGGATGGATCAACAGAATGTGATAAAGCACATAAAATGGAATACTATTCAGCCTTAAAAAGGAAGGAAATCATGACATATGCAACAACACAGATGAGCCTTGAGGACATTATGTTATGTGAAATAAGCCAGGCAAAGGGCTAATTTCAGGATTCTGCTTCAATGAGGTAACCAGAGTGGTCAAATTCATAGAAACAAAAGCTAGAATGCTAGTTCCCGGAAGCTGCGGGAGAAGGAAATGGCAAGTTACCATATAATGGGGACAGAGTTTCAGTTTGGAATAATGAAAAACTTCTGGAGCTAGATATTGACATGATTGTACAACAATGTGACTGTTTCTTTCCATTCTAGTAAACTTATCACCATAGAAGTGCTCTGCCTACAGGAAAAACACACAATTATACTTCACACCTGCATGGAAAGCACCTGGAGGTGAACTGGCTTTGGAAATGGGACTAGTGCTCACATTCCCCACAACCCGTTCAAATGTATAAACAAACAACCACATTAGGTGATTCATAACTATAACTGGCAGCATATTCCTCAATCATTTGTGAAGAAGAACTATTTAATTGTTCTGGTGCCAAGAGCACCCGAAAGTAAACGAGATAATCGAGAGAACTCCTCAAGGGACCACAGTACAGGTACAGATATTAGCATGTTTCATTCTAAAGAAAACCCTATGCCTGACAGATTTTATTAGTTCAACCAAACTGAATGCAAATAATCTATACTAATAAAGGGTAACACGCTGATTAGACAGGACATCTTCCAGACGTCCACCCGGACAAAGCACAGCAGCTGCGCCTTGGCTGGCGGCGCGGGAGAGGCCTCGCACCGGTCGGTCCAGCACCACAGCCCCTTTCACAGAGGCAGAGGGAGAGGGAGAGGGGGCTGCGCGGTCCCCATCCCAGTGCTGCCTCTTCTGTGGAGGCAGCTACAGAGGCATCGGCGCAGGCCCAGGCCCGGCGCCAGGCCTCCACAGAGGCTGGACGGGTGCGACCTGCTGTGTCTCAACCTCCCACAGCCCCTCCCACAGCCAACCTGGCCCCAGATCACCCCCCACCCACCAGTGGGCAGGGGACAGGACCAGAACTAAGAAGGGAGGGCCGACGGCCAGCAGTCAGTCGCAGTGGCCGGCTGGCAGTGGCAGCAGCAGCGGGGGTGATGGGGGTGGCGCCTTCCCATGATCAGTCCGGTCGCCTCCCACAGAGAGAGGCCAGACTGCGGCTTAGGGCCCGCTCTCCAAGCCCGCTCTCCGCAGGGAGCGGGCCTATGCTGTCAGTAGGACATCCCTGAGGGCTCCCGGGACTGTAAGAGGGGGCAGGCCGGGCTGAGGGGACAGCCCGCCAGTGCACGAACTTTCATGCACCAGGGCCTCTAGTAATAATAATAATTAGAAAACAAAACAAAGGAGAGTTAATGGCTCTTGGAGAACCCTGAACCTTGAGATCCTACTTATGCTGACTCTTTCAGAGCTGGTTTTTGTGTGGATCACCTGCTGTTAATAATTGATGCTATCCAACTATGTAGAACAGCCGCAGTCTGCCCTCTCTCTGTGGGAGGCAAACTTCGGCCCGCAGGCCGGATCCAGCCCGTTTGAAATGAATAAAACTAAAAAAAAAAAAAGACCGTACCCTTTTATGTAATGATGTTTACTTTGAATCTATATTAGTTCACACAAACACTCCATCCATGCTTTTGTTCCGGCCCTCCGGTCCAGTTTAAGAACCCATTGTGGCCCTCGAGTCAAAAAGTTTGCCCACCCCTGATGTAGAACCTGGAGGATTACAATGCAGCCAAACATAATTCTAGTTATGCCAGAAAACAAACAAAAGTAATAAAAAGGAGTTTTTTAATATATCGGGATCAGACTTAAGAATCACTACTTTATAAGAATCAGGGTTCAGTATTTAAACTTGAAATATTGATAATTAAGAAGCTTAAAATACAAAGGCTAACTCAGGAAGTAAAGATCATACTGCTATGTGATAAGCATGCTACAATTTTATTCTTTTTTTTTAAGACTTTTTAAATTGACTCTTAGAGAGAAAAGGGAGAGGGGAGAGAGAGAAACATTCATCAGCTGCCTCCTGCCCAGGCAGGCATGTGCCCTCACCAGAAATCGAACGGGCAAGCTTTTGGTACACGGGATGTGATGCCCAACCAACAGAGCCATACCAGCTGGGGCTCTTTATTAGCATCTGTCATTTCACTTCAAGTACCCTTGATAAATTAATTTTTTAAAATGTGTATTATAAGCCCTGACCGGTTTGGCTCAGTGGATAGAGTATCGGCCTGCGGACTGAGAGGTCCCAGGTTCGATTCCGGTCAAGGGCAT